TAATTTTTCACCTCAGTCAAACTATTTTCATTTTGCATCTGGTTATACCACAGCTATGGACCCAAACTAAACTTTCTTGCACTTACAAGGCTGCTACTAGTGTGCAACAGTCAACTAGTGCAGTGGTTCTCAACTGGTCTGGCTGCGGGACCCACCATCACCCCTTAATGACAAGCCGCGACCCAAATTTTCAACTTCTCAAATTCATTTAATGAAAAGATGGTGACTGGATGGATGTTTCATTCTGACTATTTCCTGTATTCTGGTCTTTGACAGCATCCTTAGAGAATTAAGGAATAAATGGATATATAATTTTGACCCGCTCTGATTATTTAGTTGTATACTCTTAAAGAAGTGGAACAAACAACGTGTTGTCTGCTACAATAAATGAACCAAGTTGCATAGAGTCTTTTGGAGTGACTCTCTCCCAACTTGCAGCTCTCTATTTTCCTTCATTAGACAAACGAAACGTTCTTGCTCTTATAATACTACTATTATTTTGTCGTCCCTTTCCACATACAGAGAAAGTAGAATATGAGAGGATGGATTTAAGATTGAATGTGTACGATTGAGATATAAAGTGCACACCTGATCCTTGGAAGAGTTGGATGAGTCTTTGAATATTTCTGAGCCACCTGTTCCAGTCGGCATGCTTTGTGATGATGAATTATTGGACTCCCTTGAGGAATACAATGTGAGACATGAGTACAGTCTTCTTGTTATTTAACTCCATGGCTTGCTCCTAATGACAATAAGTGACTTACAGGGCAGTTAACAGAGGTGGTCCACCATCCTCGGTTGATCTGACGGACACCTGCAACGCACAGAAAAGGTGTTTGGCATAATGTTAGACATCAGCACAGAATAATGTAGAAGTGCAATCACTCAAATGAAAAAATAAACAGTCTTGCTTGAGTGTTTTATGGGAAAGGCTTTCAAAATAAAAGCATGTAGGTTGTGGTAAATATGGTCTGTGAGCAGTATATTTAGATCTCGACTGCGATAAAACTTCTACTTTTCTACCAAACTATCCTAATCTGCCAATTTATTAGGTGCTACATGGAACTGTTGTATTCGTTTTAGCTAGGTGTTTATAATAAACTGGCAACTGCATGTATATTTTAATGATTTAAAGAAGTACAAAATATGGAATACCTTGCTGTCCCAGTCTGTCTGTTCTTGGAGAGCAGACCAGGCCAGCTGAGCTGCTTTTTGTTTGGCTTCCTTGACAGTCTTACCCTCACCCTCAGGGTAGTCCTCTTTGTCGATTATTAATTTGTAGAAAAATCTGTGTTGTGTTTTGAAAAAGAGTAAATTATTTAGATCATTGTGTAAACATTTTAATATTGTTGAAAGCTGAAAACAAATCAGGAGTTAGAACAGAGTGTCTGCGGTGTCTATTCAGAGAACAGAGGTTTAGGTTCATACTTACTGAGGCTTATGAGGTGGACCACATCTCTTCTCTTCAACGTATGAATGGCAGCGGTTTGTTTTCTGACAGTATTTGTCAACCATTCCAATGAAATTTGTCTCTGTACAGCTGTTGTCCTGAACGTTCACACTGATGCGTCTTGTCACATTACTGTAATAAACAAGTAATATTTTACACTGAAGTCATGAAAATTAAACTGCCATTGTGTTTTACTCACCAGATATCCAAAACCTCCTCTTGTTGAGCTGATGTAGGGTTGTCTGTAGCAGTCTTGAAAAAAAAACAAAAGTACAATTTTTATGATGGTTCACACAGTGGATTGTGGCCGCTGAGTATGTGGCACCTTAAAACACAATGGTTATCAAGGACTTCCATTAAGTCTAAATAAACCAGTGTGCATCATTACTTACCTCTGTAGTACTGCCATATATCTCGAGATATACAAGCTTGGCTGCTTCCTCCTTAGCTTCCTTCTTTGTTTTCCCAGTGGCAGCTGGATACTCCTTATCACCAACCACGAAGCTACAGCATCTAATATCATAAAACTTTCATTTAATGCATTTATAAATCAGGACAAAATAGCTACAAATTAGAATGTATTTAAGAGGCTTACGGAGTAGTACTATTTAGTCCCTGTCTGGTTGACTCCACAGCCCGTATAGTCATCCTGTTTTTGTGACCATGTTCATTGAGCCAACATGTATAGTTGGCTTGAGTGAAAGCTGTCTGATGAGCTAGTGCAGTTGAAGCTTCTGTTGCATTTTCTGTCTGTCGGGATAAAAACAAATATACATCGAGGAGACGAGTGTCATGAATCAGTTTTCTATACTTTGGAATACTAAAATTCACACATGCAGTGAGTCAATAAAGAGGTATAATAATCTTACAGAGTCTATTGTTTCCCCCAACAGGACACTCAGGGCATTTGCAGCTGCATTTAGTTTGGCTTCCTTCTTGTTCTTCCCCACACCATCAGAATATGCCTTACCACCCACCACTGCTCTCACGGTAAATCTGAGAATAAATGATAAAACTTTGTTAAACAAGAAAGGTGACACCAGAATGTGGTGAGAGGTTGCATCACAAAGACTTGAATCTGCAGGCGAGGTTGATAACTTGAGGTCGTGTTGGACCCCCTGCAGCCTGTCAACTAGTAAAGAGTTATTCATTTTATTACATGAGAACAACACTGTGATATGTGCATTACCATTATATTAGCAGCACTAGACATGGTTATCATTTCTAATATTTCACTACTGGTGTCAACACAATACCTGAGTTGGGTGTCTATTCCAAAACAATTATTTTTCAATATCTAACCCGATGCTGCAGACACAGATCAGTAAATACTTATACTTATAAATATTGAGGTTCAGCACCCCTGCATCTATTAGTCTTTATTAAAGGAATGTTACACTCATGCCAAATTCATCAAAATGTTCCTATTGTTTTTTTCCAATATGCAGAAAACAATAAATAATATCCCACTCAACTGTGAAGATATACACTGCTTATTTAATGTTACACCTACTGTATGTGTTCTTTTAACGTATAACAGCTGACCAACATTGATAAAGTGCGTTACACATACCTGAGGAGGACAACGATTGGCTTTAACACCTATTTCCTATGTTTAAAGCAAAAAACAAGAGAAACCTCTATCCTCCCATTCAATAGCATGTTCTATTTAAGTGCGACATCTCTTCAAATCCTACTATATTCAATTATTTTCGTGTCGTAAATCGCACCAGAGAATGTGTTCAACTTACGTCTTAATGTGATCCAGGCCAACAGCCCGAACGTCCTCATACCTCAGGTCTAAGCGCTCTCTCTGTGTGTACTCGTTGAGTTTAGCTACGGCCATTATACATAACTCAACCGTCACAACGTCCCCTCTCAACACAGCAAAGAATAAACCTCACAATACTAACTAACGATGGCTCTTCTTCGTTTTCATCTCAGCTCTACTTCCACGTACCAGCGGGCTGTTTTAATGCAGCCTCACCCTCAGTAAGTTTCGTTTTCTCCGTAAACATTACACAACATGGCACCCTCACGTGGTGTCAAATATCAAAACTGTGTAGATGGGAACTCACTGTGGATAAATTAAAACCATAAATTGTAATACTGGCAAAAGTGTTAGCAGCCTTTAGTCAAAGTGAGGTGTTTGTTTTGGTTTTGGAAGCTGTTAATGTTCTCTGTTAATAATTGTTTTAATTGTTATCTAAAATAGATATCTATTTTAAAGGTACAGTGTGTAGCAATTAGGGGGATTGGCAGCAATGGAATATAACAAGTATAATTTCTTTAATCACCTGGAAATAAGAATCGTTGTGTTTATGTTACCTTAGAATGAGCCATTTATATCTTCTTACGATTGTATTGAAAGCACTGATCAAAAGTCATGTCCCTCACAGTGCTGCCTGCTTTGTCCAGATGAGAGTAGCTTGTTCTGTTCAGGTACCTTCAGTCTGGTTCCCTTCAAATGTGATCAAATTCATTACAGACTACATCATTTACACTTTGGTTGGCTTATAAACTTTCAACTCCTTAAATACTAATGAACTAATCTTGATTTTACGTAGCGGTTGGCAACCAGTGTTTTAGGTGCATTACTGCCTCCTGCAACCATTGAACCTGTCTGTGGAATACAATGAAAGAAACTCAGCTGCTTAAAACACTTCCCATGTTCATTATTGTCTTTCTATTGAAATGTTGAATTCCAGCATTCCTAAATTCCTGTTTCATAAATTGCCACTACAGCAGTCCATGATAGAATAAACAATGCTTTGTTATTATCTTACTTTGTTTTATTTTTAGACCTCATGACTTCCAGAAAGGCCACAAGGCATTGACTGCCAGTTCAACCACTGTTGGACTTGACATTATAATTACTTAGAATGACTATCAACAATCCACCAGAAGCATTTTTAAATAGCTGATAACTTAAGTATTAATACTACTAATACTGAGTCTTGATTTGAGTATCAATGCTAGTATCAAAAGTAATGATAGGCTACCAAAACATATTGCATGAGTTTCACGTTGGATCACATTGTGGGTGTTTCACGTTAACCTTGTGGGCACATAACTCTCTCCACATCTTTGCTGCTGTTGTGTGCAGTCATCATCTTGCTAGTTGACAAAATTCAAACAAACACTTTTTCTAATTCATCATCAAACACTGTGTTTTAACATGCATGTGATCAAATCATTAAAGGCACTGTCACACATGCACGTAATAAACATTTGCCTCCTGTTCACTTTCATTCTGTGAGCAAAGGGGCGATAAAAACATTTGCTTCCAGTGGTGGAGCAAACTCTCATCTTTACATTTTCATGGAGTTGAACTTTGGTGAACTTTCCGTCCACCCAATGACCACCAATTTGCAATGACACAACGTAACAAAACGCAGAGGGAGTACAGGAAAAGTTAGAAAAAGCTCAATATAATTTTCTCACATTTATATAATGAATGCTGGGATGTGCATGAATACAAGTTCTATTTTAGCCAAAGGTCTATTTTTTCCAATATTTCTTAGCTGTTCCGTTTTCATACTGTCATTGGCTGTCATGTCATATGATTATTGTCAAGCAGAATGTTGTAACGGCATAATGAAAGTCTTTTGTTCACGTAATTACATTTTACTGTAATGCTGTGTTTTTATTGGCTAAATAAAAAATGTGCATACATTGGCTAAGGAAAAATACATCAAAAGGAAGATAACATCAAAACCATATTGTAAACCTTTAATCCTGATGCAACAGGTGCAGCAGCCACTCACACAATATAAAAACCTAATTCATCAATATACCAGTGAATTCTGTCCAACAATATTGTTGAAATATAATAAAATATGGTCAATATTTCTATTATTTCTCAATTTTGTTTTTGTTATAACAAATGTATGCAAAACCCCAACAAACAATCCAAAAAGAGGGCCCCACCTTGAGAAATAAGATGCCCGTCCAAAGTTTTCTGTCTGGTGACTGTACTGTCTATACTGTATGTATAGTATAGTATGTGTGTATATACTGTATATGTACATTTAGTGTATAGATATCTGACCATTCTATCCAGGATAACCCTTATTAACATACACACTCTAAAACAAAGGCTGTAATGTGACATCATGTCACATTACTTTAAAGTCATCAACCGTTTCAGTATAGAATAAAATGTCAACTGTGGACACAGAAATTATCGGCACATGATTATTTAGAACCAATAGTTATTTTCTAAAATCACAATAAACTTGATTTCATGATTCGTTCCGATTATTAAAACCTATACTACTAGGACCGCTTTCCAGTTTCTTCAATACTTGAATGGTTAATCATTTGAGCTTCTGTCTTGAAGTTGATGTGTCCTTGAGCCTCAAACACACGACTGTTCCCGTGGTTGTGTGTTTGAGGGAGTGAACGTGAGGCCTTGTGAAGAGCTTTGTACTGATCTCAGTTATACAAGTGCAGTACGTGAACCATGTCCCTCCAAAATCATATTGGTAACATTAGACATTATAACAGATACATTTCCATATGCTGGTAAAGACTTATCACAATTCCTTGTGATAATCAGACAGCTGCATCTTCCTGATGCATATTTTGTGTGTTTAATGTCTGAGCACACATCTCCATTTCTGCCTTCAGTTTAGTTGCTTCGGGTCGGTCTTCAGGCTTCTCATTCAGCATTAACTCAATGATTTGGTTCTGAAAAAAGAACAAACACAAGTGCTACTGAGATATTTGTACCAACAATAATAGAAAATGTCATATTGTTGAAGCTCCACTTCACAGGATATCCAATATATGAACTTATGACACACTCAAAACACTGTTTGATATTTGACATTATTCACATACAGACGGCAGCAGCCCTGTTTTGACTCGAATCCTTTGAGGCCTTAGATATGGTTCATTACGGATTAATCTGCTGACTATTTTCTCCATCAATTAACTGTTTGTTTGGTTTGTAAAAATTCTGAATATAGATTTTAATGCTGTTACAAATACCCAGAGTCCAAAGTAAGACCTTCATAACGATTTAAACAAATAAATTAATACAAAAAATCTTTAAATCCTCACATTACATTGTTATGTCAATCAATTCCTAAGATAATCATTTCAGCAGTACTACATTTTCATGTTTGGTGTGCAAAAATCGGAATTTGTAAACTAACTAATTTAACTTAATCTAATAATTGTACAATATTTCCCTCTGAAATATTGAAGTATGAAGTGTCATGAGAAGAAAATACTCAAGTGAAGTAGTACTTCCAATTTGTACGGTTTATGAATAACGGGCACCCTGATGCTCATTGTCCATGGTAATCTACCTCTTGGGGAAAGGTCAGTCCAAACTCTTCAGGGAGCTTCTGACTTCTGGCATCATCCCAAACCTGGTATTCATAAGGTGATGAAAGAACAAGTTAGCCACAAATTACAAATACTTAAAATTGTGCTCTGTTGAATGTTACAAATGAGTACAAGAAAAATTACACAAAGACAGATTAAAAGATGAACAATGAAGTTCCAACATATCTGTGATCTACAGTACATAGATTTTGCTACACACCATACTGAAAATAAATCAACTACTGGTGTATACCGACAGAAGCTGGTTTTCTATTTGTATGGACTCACCACTCCTCTTTCGTGGCCAGTAGAGAGTTTCCAAAGGATTTCAAAGTAGATCAACCCCAGAGCAAATATGTCCACTTTACGGTCATAGTTCTTCCCCCTCTTTTGTGACAGAATAAAAACACAGTATTGACAATAGGCACTTCAGCAGCTTCATGTTATCCTAATCATTGTTAAATATTAACTAGTTATGCTCATTAACTAAAATAAGCTTCAGCTTTCAGCTGAATAATGGTCTATTGGCATAAAAGTTGTAACACATTTGCTGTAAACATTTTGATTCTACAGCTCTCACTGCAAAAAGTAAAGATAGGTGAGGTTGAGATTCAGGAAATTCAGGAGCATTGTTAAGTGTGGTAGGCATACAGGTCTACCTAATGTCCACCTATAGTCTACCTAATTAAGCCCATTAGAAGAATAAATTTGTCAACACAATCATTTAGAAGAAGTTATTGTCAGTATAGACCGTCTCACTTGTTCAGGGGCCATGTAAGTTTTGGTTCCTCTTTGCTCTGATCTCTCCATCAAAGCATCGCCATCATCAGCATCTCTGGTGACCAGACCAAAGTCTCCAATCTTCACTTCTCCATCCAGTCCAAAGAAGATGTTGTCAGGCTTATCATTGAAATGAAAAAACACAAATCGAAACAAATAAATATCTAGCTCCTCATGTGATGGGCAGTCAACACCTAAACTAGTGAATGGATTTAAAATGGGAAACCAGCATTAAATCTAAACAGTCAGCATGTGTGGCTTTTATTGGGTCAATAAATGGTGTGATGATCAACTAACAGCCTTGTTTATCTAGTTGACCATTTCTAGGAACAAAAACATCTAATAATGTGACATTATTCTATTGTGGTATTTGTTCATTTTATTATGATTATGTTAAATCTAATGTAATGCCATCCATTTACAAGTAGTATGTTCAAGGGTTTTATAACCAGATGTTGAAAGCTTCCTCCATCCTACCAAGAATACTATTCTGGTGGGGAATTGTTGAATATTGGCTTTAAAAAAATGAACAGACTTGAACATCAGTCGATAAATAATTAATAAATATTACACACAATGAATTTATGTTCACAAACATTTACGAGGCAGAAAAATAACATCACAACTGCAGCCAGCTCATAATAATCTGTTGTTTTGCTCTGTTCACTTTGCTACATACTAACTCCATTCCAGATCAATCCAGTTTCTTGGATAATGTCACCTCCAATGTCACCTACAGAACTGTTCCAGTCCTCCTGGAAACGCATCTTAACTACCTGTTATTCTGGGTTTTCCACATATTGACTGGTTCACGGGAGCCATCTTGCAATAGAGCCGTCATTGTCATGCTGTCTAAAATCTGCTTTGCCCCCCACTCCTAGTCTTTTCCCTCCAGAGTTCCTGGAACTCACTGGATC